GCCCCGGAGTGTGGTGGAGGCTCCTTCTTTGGAAGCTTTTAAACAGAGGCTGGGTGGCCATCTGTCGGGGGTGGTTTGAATGCAGTATTCCTGCTTCTTGGCAGTGGGTTGGACTGGATGGCCCATGAGGTCTCTTCCAACTCTTTGATTCTATAAATGTTTCAATTGGCAGCCTTGATTAGCATTGAATAGCCTTTCAGTTTCAAGGTCTGGATGCTTACTGCCTGGGGAAAATTTATGAAAATGCACAAATCTGGCTACTAGTATTAAAAAAGAAACTCTAAAATGGATCCAAGCGTTCAACCCATCATAGGAATATTTCAAGTTACAAGTTGAAAGAAAGTTCAATGACCCAGGACTGTATACGGACAACAGCTATGTCTTTGTGTAACGTGTTTTTATGTGCTGTGTTTACAGTCATTCCTTGCTACTTTGCAGTTCGCTTTTTGTGGAATTGCTGTTTTGCGTTTTTTCAATTAATGTAAAAGTACTTATTGCAGTATTTTCGCTGGGTTTTTGCAGTACTTGGGCGCAGTGGGTTAAAGCACTGAGCTGCTGAGCTTGTTGACCGAAAGGTTGCAGGTTCAAATCCGGGGAGCGGCATGAGCTTCCACTGCCAGCCCCAGCTTCTGCCAACTTAACTATTCGAAAACATGCAAATGTGAGATCAATAGGTACCGCTCCGGCGGGAAGGTAATGGCGCTCCATGCAGTCATGTTGGCCACATGACCTTGGAAGTGTCTACGGACAACGCCGACTCTTTGGCTTAGAAATGGAGATGAGCACCACATCCCAGAGTTGGACACGACTGGACTTAATGTCAGGGAAAAACCTTTACCTTTACCAGGTAAAACAACAATCTCGTGCGCAGCTACTCCTCTCTGCTCTTCCATTTCACGTTAGCATCAGACTCACGTGTGCGTGGTAGGACTAAGGCCAAGCAACTTTACAATCGCATGGCAGAGAAAATGGAGGACCAAGATGGCAGTGAACAAGAAGAGGACTGGTTTAATTTTAGAAGCGGTCTGGACTTAAGAGCATTTGTCTGTATGGTGAGGCTGCCTCTGCGGATAAAGCCGGAGCTGAGGATTATGTGAACAACACGTTCAAGGAGGGTTATGTAGTGTATAAGTGTCTGGGGAGGGTTTATAAAGACTTTAAAAAGTGTATAACTACTGAAATAAGGAACTCCCAATGGTGCATTGGGTTAATGTGCGGAGCTGCTGAGCTTGTTGATCGAAAGGTCGCAGATTTGAATCCAGGGAGCAGTGTGAGCTTCCGCTGTCAGCCCCAGCTTCTGCCAACTTAGCAGTTCGAAAACATGCAAATGTGAGTAGATCAATAGGTACTGCTCTGGCGGAAAGGTAATGGTGCTCCATGCAGTCATGCTGGCCACATGACCTTGGAGGTGTCTATGGACAAGATGAAGATGAGCACCATACCCAGAGTTGGACACGACTGGCCTTCATGTCAGGGGAAAACCTTTAGCTTTACCTACTGAAATAATATATAAATATTAAAATAAATATAGTGTCCCTACTTTGCGGATTTTCACTTTTCGCAGGTGGTTCTGGAGCATAACATCTGCAACAAGTGAGGGCACACTGTAATAATGTTTAATGTTTTATCAAGGGAGGGACAATTTTGATATTTTATACTGTTTTTTATCAATGGCATTGAATTGTTGCCAACACTGTGAACCTCCCTGAGTCCCCTTCAGGATTGAGAAGTGTGGCATACAAATACCGCAAATATATATAAATAAATAAATAAATAAATAAATAAATAAATAAATAATAAAATCAGGACAGTAAATAACACCACTTCGAAAATAGATCAGGGCCAACTACACCTCCCAATAAAGGATTCCCCCAGGCAGTAAGCAGTCAGACCTTGATGCTGCAAGGATATTCAAGGCTAATGAAGGTGGTTAATTACAACATTCACACCTGCCTCCAACAGACGGGTTCTTTCCTCATCGTGAGCATTCCAGATATATAAACCCCAATTGCCTAGTATCCAACAAACCTCACAACCTCTGAGGATGCCTGTCATAGATTTGGGTGATACTTCAGGAGAGAATGCTTGTGGACCATAGCCAGACAGCCTGGAAAACTCAGCAACCCAGCAATTCCAGCCATGAAAGCCTTCAACAACACATTGCCCTGAAGCTTTCTTGGATGGAGGACAATCAGGGACTTAATCTTTCCTGTTTTGTGGATGTTTGTTTATTCATGGATTTAATGTAAATATGTTATCTCTAGGAATCCCAGGTTCTCCAGTGTGACTCAATCTTCATCCTGGAGGATCCACGGATTTCTAGAGGACAGTTCGCTAGTTCCTCCAATGTGCATCTATGTTCAGCTTCCATTGTAAGTTGACCATAGACTGTTTCCCAAACTGTGGTCTTCCATGTGTTTTCAGATTTGGTGCCCAGAATCCTTGATTATTGATCAAGGGAGCTGAGGTTTCTGAGAATTGAAGTGCAAAACATCTGGAGAACCCCTGTATCCATTCCTAGAGGTATTCTGTCTACTAAAAAATAATACATTTCTTTGTATTTTTCACTTTCACCAGGGTCCTGTGCTTCAAGCCTCTGAAAATGTGGAAGATTGACTGTACCTCTCCCCCCCCAATGATGTTTATTAAACATTTACATGTGGGTGGGGGGAAAGGGGGAGAAAAAAATGGGATAATAGATTTGTTATTGGTTAGTTGCATATTTACAGTCTCTGTTATGTCGCAAGGAGAAAACAAAGAGGGTGGGGGTTGTTGGGGTATGGGGGGTTCCTTTTACAAAATTGTCATTGTTACAACTAAATCTTCATCTCTATTTCTTTAACACACATTTGTTATAATAGTGAAGATTCTAACAACTTTAAGTCCATTGGTTGTCTTTTCAGTGTATCTTCTCACATTTTGTGATCTTCATATATTTTCTAGTTCTTCATTAGAAATTGAGCATAATTTTTCATAAGATTGTTTCACAAGAAATCTATTCTTAAATTTTATCATTATCATGCTTTCTCTCTGTCTTACACCAAAGATAATTTTATATAACCAATCCATTTGTATAGCCCATCTCAATCTTAGGCATTGTTCAAAGTTCAAAATCTCTATTTCTTTTTTCTGTTCTTCGTGTTTCTGCCTGCTTTTTCTTCTGAACAATCATCCTTTTACCCTGTCCTTCTCTTTTAAAGCGTTAGATGTTGTATGTGTGTGTATGTGGGTTTTCCGGGCTGTAAGTGCATTTTCTAGAAGCATTTTTGATGACATCTATGGGAGGCATCCTCAGAGGTTGTGCGGTCTGTTGGATACTAGGCAAGTGAAGTTTATATATCTGTGGAATAATGTCCAGGGTGGGAGAAAGAACTCTTTTGTCTGTTTGAGGCAAGTGTGAATGTTGCTATTGGCTAACTTGATTAGCATTTAATGGCCTTGCAGCTTCAAAGTCTCGCTGGTTGCTGCCTGGGGATCCTTTGTTGGGAGGTGTTAGCTGGCCCTGTTCGATTGTCTGGATTTCCCCTGTATGACACTCTTGTGCAGTAGTTAAAATGAAGAAATTTGTTGCCACAAAATACAATGAGCCCCCTAGTGGTGCTGTGGGTTAAACCGCTGAGCTGCTGAACTTGCTGACTGAAAGGTTAGCAGTCTGAATCCAGGGAGTGGAGTGAGCTCCCACTGTTAGGCCCAGCTTCTGCCAACCTAGAAGTTCGAATACATGCAAATGTGAGTCGATCAATAGTTACGGCTTCTGTGGGAAGGTAACGGCACTCTGTGCAGTAATGCTGGCCACATGACCTTGGAGGTGTCTATGAACAACGTCAGCTCTTCAGCTTAGAAATAGAGATGAGCACCACCCCCTAGAGCTGGACACAACTAGACTTAATGTCAGGGAAAATCTTTACAATTCATCGATAAAGATCTATATAAAGTTACTAGTTTCTCTGGCTATACATAATCTGAAGAGGTCCAATGCCTCTAAAGAGCAGCACTTAAGAGAGGTTACTTCTCAGTACTTTAACCGGGAAATGATAATTTATTTGACACAATATCCTGCTAGATAAAACATATTATTTTTTTAATATTTAAAATAGCATTTGTTTGATGAATGTAAGAAAAGGAATGTATTTGTGCAACAAGGATGGCATGGAGATTTCGAATCTCTCAACTAAGGTTCACAAATCCCCCCATGATTTCATAGGCCTTGGGCTGGTTGGCTTTGCAGATGAACTCAGACCCAACCCCATAAAGGCATATTGGTTTCCCGATTCTTACTATTCTGACCATTTCGCTTTGAGAATTATAGAGTAAGCACCAATTGTGTTGGTTCAGAGGCTCATAAAACAGTTTACATGAGTCTCTAAACCAGGGGTCCTCAAACTTTTTAAACAGAGGGCCAGGTCACAGTCCCTCAAACTGTTGGGAGGGCCGGATTATAATTTGAAAAAAAAAATGAATGAATTCCTATGCACACTGCACACATCTTATTTGTAGTGCAAAAAACACTTAAAACAATACAGTAATTAAAATGAAGAACAATTTTAATAAATATAAACTTATTAGTATTTCAATGGGAAGTGTGGGCCTGCTTTTGGCTGATGAGATAGGATTGTTGTTGTGTGCTTTCAAGTCATTTCAGACTTAGGTTGACCCTGAGCGAGGGCTGGGTAAATGACCTTGGAGGGGTGTATTCAGCTCCTGGACCTTAGTTTGCAGACCCCTGCTCTAAACATTCAGTCCTTCTGCTGCTAATGATGCTTTTCAGACAAACCTCATGAAGAACTCGCCCTGCCCTGAATGGAGAGCATCCAATGCAGACTCGTGTTGCAACCTAATCAGAGCTGCAAAGGGCATGTCTACACAGAAGCTTCAGTATTGTTTCCATGCAGTTAAATGAACCATTAAGCACTCGTGACTTGAACCCAGGTCATTCAAAGCTGTGTGGCACATACTTTGCGGCCGCTTTAAGAGAAAAAAGAGGAAGAGAAGGCAAGCCATTTCAGGAAATGCTTCTGTTTATTGACAAACACTACTCCAGGCTTTGCAAACAGGATTATCCCATTAAAACCAAACAAAATGTCTGGTAAGCCAAAAAAACATTTCAAGGTCTTGGTCATGGAAATGCAAGGTAGTTAATCGGAAGCATGGTATATTTTGACCCAAAGGGGTTTTTTTCCAGTGTGTGTTTATGTATTTTTGGGGAATTTTTGGTGCAAATAAGGCATATAAGATGATTTTCATGCAGTGGAATATTGTGAGTGATGTTGGTGTGAAATGTAAAAGACACATTCATTTCTACACGTCTTTATCAGAAAGTTTCTTTGAGGTGTGAGACATCTGGCTTTTGACAACCTAGAAAAGTAGAAAAGCAACACTTTAAAGAGCTGGGTTATAATTTCAAGGCAATACTTCCCAGTTTCCCGCCCGTCACACAGTTCAGTCCATCATTGTTTCAACCCCTACATGGTTTGGGATGATCATGAAGAAAATAGGGGAGAAAACTCCATCCTGATTTTTAACTATAAGACTTTTCTAAAGTGATGTTTTTCAAGCATTTGGTTTTCTTCTTGTGCATCAATAGTTGCCAAAAATTTTTTTTAAATGGCGATAGTCAAACAAAGCATCCATACTCTCATGCAGAAACTATTAATATAACTAAGGCTCGATGCAAACATGTTTGCCACAACTTTATTCAACTGCTTTAAGAAAAAAGGGACAAATTGAGAGCTATGAGCTGAATGGAGCCTGGGTCACTTACCAGCCTCCCGGTTCAAGAGGTAGCAGCAACGATGCCCACTTTTTGGGCGGCTTCTTTCTTCGCCTGGTGGGCCTGCAACACCGCCACGGCCTCCTCCACCTGAGAAAAGGAGAAATCCACAAAGAGGCCAAGTCAGTGGAAAGAGTGGGGCTTAAATAATAACAATAACAACAACAACTTTATTTGTATTCCGCTCTATCTACCCTAGGGAACTCAGGATTCCAACATAACAACGGCAAACATTCAATGCCTACATGAAACACAACTAACATAAAATGCCAGAAAAACCCCACATATGAAAGTAACATTAAAACCTAACATCAATAAATCAAACTACATGTAGCCAGACAAAATTCTATAGTAACTTAAATCTAAACAAAACATTCACATAGTGTACAACAGCCAGCAAGGGTTCACAAAATGGAATGGGTTGGTTATGGAGTCAAATGAGGTCATTGGGCTAGCGTGGACCAGAAAAGCCCAAATATGAATAGTTCTCAATCAGAGGCCCGGCAGTGATCTCTCGACTATCTAATCCCCCTCCTCTCCATATGCTAGTGAGCAAAAGTATGTCTTCAGTTGTTTTTTTAAAGGAGAAAAGGGAGGGGGCTAGCTTTATTTCTTTAGGGGGAGAGTTCCAAAGGTGGGGGACGACCACCGAGAAGGCCCTCTCTCTTGTTCCCACCAGCCGTGCTTGGGATGGGGGTGGGACCAAGAGCAGGGCTTGCTTCGATGACCGCAGTGCCTGGGATGGTTTGTAAGAAGAGATGCAATCGGTCAAATAGCCTGGACTCGAGCCATTTAGGCCTTTAAAGATAATGGCCAGCACTTTGTATTTAGTTCAGAAGCAGACTGTCAGCCAGTGGAGCTGCCACAACATGGGAGTGGATCTCTCCCTGTACGGAGCTCTTGTTAGCAATCTGGCTGCCGATCTCTGAACTAGTTGAAGCTTCTGAACTACCCTTAAAGGTAGCCCCACATAGAGAGTGTTGCAGTAATCCATCTGCAACGGAGCCCCCCAAAAGGGCCTTACCTTTGAGCGGAGGGACTCCGGAGACTCCAGCATGTGCAGCAGCTCAGAGTTGTCAATCTCCAGCAGCATTCCAGTGATCTTTCCTGCCAGACTGAGGTGCATGGCTTGGATGAGGGGGAACAGACGCTCGCCTGAGGGAGCAAAACAAGGCGGTCATAGGAAGGAAGCGGAAAAGATACCCTTCTCTCACACACACAATCCTAGAGTTGGAAGACACTTAAGGTCAGGCAGGAAAGGCACAATCAATGCCCTCCCAACAGATGGCCATCCAGCCTGTTTCAAAGCCTCCCAAGAAGAGGCCTTAACTTGACTCTCAGGCAGAGAGTTCCACTGTTGAACAGATCTCCTTAAGGTCAGGAGATTCTTCCTAATGTTCAGGCAGAATCTTCTTTCCTTGAGTCCTATCATTAACCCCAGTTGAATTTTAAATTCTTCTGCCATCGAGTCACATTCAACAAAATGAAGCCTCGCCATTTAAGCACTGTGGTCAATATAAGCAGAGTAACTGATTTCTGCCCCACTGAACTAGAGACATGGAAGTGCATCTAGAATATGAAAATCAGGACGCTCAGCTACCCGTCTTTATTGTGACATTGGCCACCATCCTCATTTGCACAATGACCACTGCACTTTCAAGCCAAAATCCCTGGGTCTCCAAGGAGGAGAGAAGGAAGTCTTACCCAGCATCTGCTTCTGTTCCTGGGGAGGAGCAGCAGCCAACATGGAGGCTGTCAAGGGCTCCTGTCCTTGGACATGGACTGCAGGCTGTGGGGCCTAAGGAAGGAGGAGGACAGGGCTCTGTCAGTTACAGCAAATACATTTGGAAAGGCCCCACCAAAGAGAACCTTGAATGCATTTGTATATCCTGCTTACAAGAAAAAGACTCAATGACTTTGCATGAAAATGAGGAAAGAACCTGTGCAAACAGGGAATGGAAAGACCTGAAATCACAGAAGGAGATTTAGAAAGGAACTAATAATAATAATAATAATAATAATAATAATAATAATAGTAGTAGTAGTAGATTTATATTCCATCCTACTCCCCATGGGGACTCAGGGCGGATTTCAGTTTAAATGGATACCAGAAAGTGTTCGATGCCTTGTTACAATATAATGATACACACATATACAGGCAAAGGCTTCTCCTTTCATTTCCGGCTTTGGAAGGGGTGCTCATCTCTGGCTCTGGGGAAGTGCTGTTCTCCATTTCCAAGTCGAGGAGCCTACATTGTCACCTCCTGGTCATGTGATCGGCATGACGGCTTGCAGGGTCTTATGCCTTTCCCACCGAAACAGTACCTATTGATCTACTCACATTTGTATGTTTTCAAACTGTTAGGTTGGCAGGAGCTAGGGCTAACAGTGAGAGCTCACTCTGTCCCACGGATTCCAAGTGCTAACCTTCAGGTCAGCAGTTCAGTAGGATTTAACCCATTGCGCTACTGCGGCCCCATGAAAAACTATAGTTACATAGACTCAGAAACGGTTGAAAGAAAGACCCAAAATAATATTTCTAATCCAATAAATATACAAAATAGGGTGTTTCAAAATGATGGACCCCAATTTCAAAGGCAGCATTATTTTATGATGGCAACATATTACAATTGCACCAAAAGTTACAAACGGTTTAATGAGGTATCACATTTAACAAACCGTTCTTGGCCAAACACAAATCTCAAAAATAACCCCAGAAACTGAAAACATCTCATTGGGCCTTATATTGCGGGGTTTCATTTTGTGAATGTCTGGGGATTGGAGATGTTTGTGGCATCTAGTGGTAATCCTTTGTAAGTCTATGGCACACTATTTCAAAGGATTTCATCCCTTGGTGGGTTGTGGTTGCAGAGATACAGCGATTTCAAATGGGGTCCATATTTTTGAAGCACCCTGTATATGGCAAAGCTACCTGCAAGGGCTGGACCGCTGGGTGGGGGCTGCGGACGTTGGAGGCGTATTTGTAGGGGGGGACAGCCCTGGGTACCTGGGCAGCTGCAGGGGGCCGAGGGGCTAAGTTCGGACCCGTGGGAGGGACACCTGGAAGAGAAACAGGTAATTGAGAACCCAAGCCAAAGAACAAAGATCAAACAACATAAATATATAGACTACACTTAATTGGAGAAAGCAAATTGTTTTGCTCTTTGTAAATGTGTTAAATTAGAGCCAGCAAAGTACAATGGTTTAGTAAAAGGACTAAGTTGAAGCTGGACTTCAAATCCCCAATTAGCCCCAGAAGAACAAAGCGAGTCACACTCTCTCATTCTCATAGAAAGGCAAAGGCAAATCCCCTTTGAACACATCTTGCCAAGAAATCCCTGCAATAGGGTTGCTGTAAGTCGGAAGCGACATGAGAACACATAAAGGTAAAGGTTTCCCCTTGACATTAAGTCTAGTTGTGTCCGACTCTGGGGGGTGGTGTCCATCTCCATTTCTAAGCCGAAGAGCCAGTGCTGTCCACAGACACCTCCAAGTTCATGTGGCCAGCATGACTGCCTGAAGCGTCATTACCTTCCCGCCGAACTGCTAGGTTGGCAGAAGCTGGGGCTAACAGCAGGAGCTCACCCCGCTCCCCAGATTTGAACCGTTGACCTTTCAATCAGCAAGTTCAGCGGCGTGCACCACTGGGGGCACATAGCAACATGCTAAATGGATATTAGTAGTTGGGAAAATATTAGTAAGCTTATTTTAATTATTACACCATGTAACACAATTTTTATGCCTGGGTTGCAAATGTCATTTCCTAACTGGTTCTATCATAAAATCATGGGAAAAATTTATTGACATCCTGCAGCACAGTTTGCTAGTTTTCCAATGAATGTCTTTTCAAGTCTCAACCAATTCAACAGTTTGTGGAATCCACAAAAACAAAGTTTCTAGAGTATAACAACTACTTTCAAAGTAAGGACTGCACAATTAAACAGGAAATAACACTTTTAAACCAGGAACATATTTTTTCCAATTTTGTTACACAGTGTTATCTATTAAAATAGCTTCCTCTATGAACAGTGATTTTTCATTTGCCACTGTTTATTATATTTAACTTTATATGTATTTTCTCTAAATATGGAACCCAATGTAGCTCACAGTATCAGCTATAAACAATATAGAACATCTAGTACAAAACAAACAAAAAGGTAATGCATGATCCTTTCAAAATTGAACGAATTGGACCACGGGTTGCTGGAATATAATGAAGATCAGATGCCTGCAGAAGGAAGAGCCGGTGCCTTCTTCCCAGAGGAAATCAGAATAAACTGACACTTACCAACCCTTTGAGGGGCACCAGGCAAACCCCGTCCAGCCTGGGCATTTCCGGCCGGAGCCAAGTGGCGCAAATTGGGCCTTGGTCCGGATTGGCGCATGTTGGGCATCCCTTGAAAGCCTGAATTTGAGAAGGAAGGAAGAGCATAAAGCCATAAGTCTGCAATATTAGGTGGAACAGATTGGCCTACCTTGTAGGGTTGGTGTAAAAGGCAGTAAACAGGCCTGACTGACCAAAGCTAAGGAGAGTTGAGGGGTGGAGCAATCAGGCAGCCTCATAGCCAGAGGTGCAGTCTGATTGGCTGATGAAATTGGAGGGAAACGCTTAGCCAGAGGGAAGGAGAAGGAGCTAAGGCAGCCATTTTGGAGTTCAGTTGGGAGTTGGAATTTGAAGGGTTAGGAGTTTTGAAGGGAAGGAAGGAAGAGTTTTGGGGACTGTTTATTGTTAAAAGATACCTCTTTGAGCAAAATAGTTAGGCCTCTATAGTGATTAGAGTGCTGGTGTTAAAGGAAGATTCAAAAAGTTCAAAAGATCCTGTTTGTATTCCTGTGCTTAAGAAACTCAAGTTAAAAATACCATTCCCTGTCCAATTAAAGCCTGTTAATCTATTGAAACGGCTACACCTATTTACTGTTACAGAACAAAATAAACAACATATTTTTTAAAAAACATTCTAGTTAAGGAGGGTGGTCTATGAAATAATAAATATTTGGTGGCAGCAAGAAAATAATTAATATACAGTGGTAGCTTCCCACTGTTTGGCCTTGTGTGTGAGGGTGTGTGTGTACTCTGGTCCCCTCATGGCCTCGCATTGGGCCAGACCTTCTTGTTTGTTTCTCAATCCTCCATCTTGTGGTGGTTGCATTAGGCAAGTACTACGGGTTGAAATATCGATCAAGGGATTGGGCATTTTGGATCCCAAGAGCTGGACATTCCTTTCACAGCAAAGAGGGGAGAAGCCTGCACCTTGAGGTCAAAATGGCCCTTTCATTCTTACTCACCTTGAGGCCGCCCTCCTTGCTGCCAGCGAGGATTGGGCCGGATCTGCGCCATCTGGTTGGGGGCATAGTAAGGAGGTCTGCTCTGGGCCTGAAAAACAGAAAAAATAACAACATATTTATTACCCACCTCTCCTTCTGAAGCATGCCCATCTCAGCCAGATCTGGCAACTTGATTATCCTGCAATTTCATATCCCTATTGCCACATTCGCACTCTAATTGACAATAAAAGGATGTGTGATGACATAAAGTTGCACCTATGTACTTTTTAGTTTGACACAACACAAAGTGTTATTAGCATATTTGGCTTTGAAGACTCTTAAGCCAATGCTCAAAATATTTACAAAATTATCAGCAAACTCAAAGGTACTTCATACTCCTAGCAAGTCCCACCACCACTACCACCATCATTATCATTATCCCAATTTTTCTCTCTAAAAAAGAGACTCAAAGAGGTTTAAAATAAAACAAACACAATTCTATTTAAAACATTAAAACATACAAAATGTTAAAACAGAATTAAAACATTAACAGTATACAATATTTCTTTTTGCATACAATATTTGTATATTTTGTATGCAATATTTATTCAAACATTCAAAGAAAAAACATACCGGTAAAAAACAAGACAAAATACAATTAAAACTACATTAAATACAAATAATTTTTCTTTATACACAAAAGTAACTAACACATTTTAATCTGCAACATGGAACTTCTAGTCACATTCCAAATAAAAACCTACTAAACTAATCTGTATGCCTCCCACTTGTTCATTTTAACTTCTCATTTGTGGGTTGCTTTAAGTATAACTTTGTTTCTACCTTTCTAAGGGGAAACCCTTAAAACAGTTAAAACCTGACCCCCAGGTTGAGAAAGTAGACTCTGTGATATTCATAGAGTTCCTATGATTCAGAAACGGTGCTTGAGAGCATCTGCCGGGACTCACCTGGGGCACAGCAGGCATGAAGTAACCTCCTGCTGCTGGCTGGAACTGGTTGAGGATGGCGTTGGCAGGGAGGGCCCTCATTCCAGCAATGCGCTGCATATACTGGTTGGTGAGGTGGGCCTTGCGCTCCTCCTTCCTCTGAGCCAAAGCTACATAGAGAGGCTTGGAGCCCACAATGCGCCCGTTCATTTCCGTCACGGCCTTGGTGGCCTCCTCCGGGGAGGAGAAGCAGACAAAGCCAAAGCCTTTGCTGCGCCCCTCTTCCAGCATGACCTGGAGGGGGAAAACAGCATGGCAACTCTTCATCTGTAAGTTACCTTTTAAGTTACTTTTATTCAAATAACTCAAAGGCCACTTACAAAAAATATAGAGCAAATAGAGACAACAGCCCACACAATGACAGATAAGATACATACAAAAAATATTCATAATAATAACAATAATAATAAAAAGTAAAGTCACTTAGAAAATAATCAATTGAAAAGGAAAATGATAAAAACATGGCAAGACAACACATTATTTAAAAGTCAGTTGCTATCATCAGGACTGCTGTTGCTTGTGCCAGAAAGAGAACCTCAGTGTGCCTGCATTGGAGGAACACCTCAAAATGAGAATCTCTTTTTTCTATATATTTATTGTATTTTTTTCAGCAATGTAAGTATTGTTATACAATTTATAAAAGTCAACCATTTCCCCCTATATTACTTCCATCACTATAGACATCAATTTCAACAAATTTTCCCCAAACCTCCCAATGAAAAATAATCAAAATTAGAATGGATTTCCCACGTCACACCTTAAAAACGCACACTAAAAATATAATTGTGACGCTGCTAATCTATTGGTGAAAATATTAAGAAGAGCTCCACAGTTCCTTTGTTGGCTACTTAATAACCAAACTTGTGTTTGTATTTGTTATATGTATTTTAAGAAAGGATGTGCTGCAAAAATGCTGTGCAGAGGATAATATTAAATTTATTATATGCCTTTCCTTGCAGCTGGCAGCAGGCTATAACATAATTAAAACAGAGAGATGAAACACAACATTCATCATCGCCATCATCATCATCTGCACAGCATTTTTGCAGCACATCTGCAGTTTCCCAAAAACCTTCATCCACCTCCTTGAACATTTCACACTTGAGGCAGGATCAACTGCAGGCCAAACTAAATGCTGGGAAATGTATTGTTTAATGAATGGGGTCCCTAGCTGAAGGCAGTGTAGCAGAAGGTGTAGAGACAGGCCCTCACTGCGGAGAAGAGGCAGCCCGTCTGGATTTCCTCTGCTTTGCTTTAGCACCCCTTGTCCCCAGGCCCCCACTTGTTCTTTGAGGCTTGGGAAAGATTCAGGTGCATCCCTCCCATGAGCCCTTGCTCCATCAAAGGGAATGGACTACAAAAGGCCAAACGCCATTTTGTCTCTTTCTCCCACTGGTTGCAAAATAGTAATTATTATTATTACTGTTATTATGTGCACATCATTCGAAAATACATCAGACAGTCCTAGACGCTTGGGAAGCGTTCGACTTGGGATTTTTTGATACGAAATCCAGCATATATATCTCGTTTGCTGTGACATACTGTGTTTTTGTGTCAGTAAAATAAAATAATAATAATAATAATAATAATAATAAATCTTTATTTATATCCCACTTTTCTCCCTCACAGGACCCAAAGCGGCTTACAACATATGAAAATCATGTAAACAACAATCGAAATACATTGATAATAAGTCTAAAATATCGTAAAATAACGATTTAAAACAATAATTTACTTTCACATTCTTGTGGCAAAGGTTTTAGAGTCTGATCTTAAAGCAGGCCATACTTTATATATATTTAAGGATTACCATTAAATTATTATTACTATTATTATTATTATATTTTACTGACACAAAAACACAGTATGTCACAGCAAACAAGATTATTTTAGTCTGATTACGCAGTATATCATACTTCTAAAGATTTCCAGTTACATTTCCATTCTTTCTCTCCATTCACCCTTTACCTTGGCACTTGTAATAGAACCAAAAGGAGAGAATTCCTTCCTCAGCTTCTCGTCATCAATTGTATCATCCAGGTTCTTAATGTACAAATTAACTCCCTACAAAAGAAACATTATCAACATGAGATAGTAAACATGTAAAACATGATACAAACGAAACTGGATTATCTTATCCAATGTGTACTTGATGAATCACGACAAGTACGAACAAACATATCTTTTCTTGGAGACAAAATCATTGAAATGTTGCAGAGTTGTAGAGACAAGACTCTTTTGAACAGAATGGAGGCCCGTCTGGATTTACTCTGCGTTGCTTTCGCATCCCATGTCCCCAAACCTGCACCTCGCAGCAAGGAGCGGGAAAGATTCAGATGCAACTCCCTCCAACTGGATTTTGGATCACTTTGACCTTTTCTTGGGATCTGAATTCCCCTTTGGTTACCATCAATGGGACTTTCTCCCTCATCCATTTATGTGGCTTAAAAATGCTCACAACAAGAGCTCAAGTAGAAGGGTCCTTTGTGGAACTTTCTCACATAATGGTTAATCCTTCATCTTGTCTCATACTTTCGATGTAAATTTGAACAAAGGGTAAATTTAAATCTAACAACCCTCCTCTGAGTGATGAAACAAGCCCATGATAAAAAATGCAACCCCTCTCTTACCTGATACCGGCTGATCCTCTCCTGCTTGAGCTGCTCAAATTTGCGCTTCAGCTCAGCCTGGCGCTCCACTTTCTTCTGTGCTCGGCCTACAAACACCATCTTCCCATTGATGTCTTTTCCATTCATTTCTTCTACGGCCTGCAAGGAAATGAAAAGTATTACAATCACAACACCAGTTATCCCTTAATGAATGCACATGTACAAAGGAAGACTTCATTGCAAGTAACTGATTATTTTCTATTAGGTAAGTTACTAGTTCTGGGCAACCTCAATTCATCATCGATTTGCATTATCTTTGAGTGCTGATCTCATCCTCAAGCGTTCAGAGCCCTCTATTCCCTTGTGAATGGCCCAGGATTATTAGCAAAGAGGCACAGGCATTCAGCGTTCTATACAGATGTCGCTACTGAATGTTGACTATGAATCTGATTATGTATTTGCAGAATTATAACTATTTATTTATTACTGGCTGTACCTGCCATAGGTTGCTGTGGCCAACCTTCCATCCCCCCCCCCCCTCTCTTTCCTTCCTTTTTCTTTCTTTCCTTCTCTTCCCTTCCTTCCCCGCCCTTTTCTTCCTTCTCTACCTATTCTTGGACTGCAACTCCCAGCAGTTCTCCTGATCAATCTATCTCTATCTAATCGATCTATCTGGATGATTGCTGGGAGTTGCAGTCCAGGAATAGGGAATTGGAAATATGCAGGGATTGGGATGCTCTTAAAGAGATCCAAGGTGAAGAAAGCTTGCAGCTTGGAAGCAGTGTATTTGGATCATCCTCCTCTCCTAAAGGGCCTTGCCTAGGGGATGCTGGGAGATGTAGTCTGGAAGAGGGTGTGGATATGCTATTATGTGGTTGTTTTGGCCGGGGAGTCATTTTTGCACATGTGCTGTAGCATCTTTTTGCTTTTTTAGCATTTTGAGTCCCTTCCACTGTGTTTTTCAGTGTTTTTATGAGTGATGGTCATTCATTGGCCTGATATGTATACTGTGTCCAAATTTGGTGTCAATTCGTCCAGTGGTTTTTGAGTTATGTTAATCCCACAAACAAACATTACATTTTTATTTATATAGATTATTTTATTGTTTATTTATATACCGCCCTTCTCAACCCCGAAGGGAACTCAGGGCAGTTTACAGTGTTGGCAACAATTCAAAACTAGTAGGAAACACCTAATAGCTCAAAGGAAAGGATTTTGAAACAGGCCGAACCTTATTGGCTTCTTCGTGCTTTTCGAAACTCACAAAGCCAAAGCCTTTGGACTTTCCAGTGGGGTCTGTCATGACTTTGACACTGAGGGTCTTGCCTGAAAAAAAAAAAACAGTATTTAAAAATGCAAACTGGCAACTGACTCCACGAGAAGATAAGTGTAGACTGGGATATACTGATTGATTCCTGGGTGATTTGCAGGAAATCCCCAAAGTTTTACTGACAATATGAATCCCCCTCTCCTATTAGTCTCTCTTCCCATAAAATTACTGTATTGACTCAAGTCTAATGTACCATCAAATCTAATGAACACCTCTATTTTCAAAACTCTGAAACCAAAAAAGGATTTGCGGCCAAATGTGATGCACAGTGGCCCTTTTTAGCTGGATCTATCCTAGATTATCCGCCTTGAACTGGACTATACGAGTCTACACTGCCAGATAATCTGGGATAAATAGATAATCTGGGATCAGATCCTGGGATATAGGGCAGTGTAGATCCAGCCTTTGTCATTTGTGCATTACAGTTGCTTGCTGCTTACAATTCCTTTTTAAAACACAAAAATGTTAGAGCATCAAAGCTTCCAACTGAAAAGAAAACCTTGGGATACATCTATGTTGTAGAATGAATCCACTTTAATGTCCTTGGTTCAATGCTAAGGAGTCATGGGGGCTGTAGTTTGACAAGGCCTTGAGCCTTCTTTGCCAAAGAATGAAGTTGCCTCAATGTATTACAAATCCCAGCATTGCATAGCACTGAGCCTGGGGATTAAATTGGAGGCAACGCCCCTCAAAGAAGAGCTCCTGGTGCAGCTCCTAAAACAGCTTCCCCCTTTGCTTTGGCTCAGAACTAAGATTACTGTAGTATGCAAATCTAATGTGCACCCTAATTTTGGCGAGGTAATTTAGCCCAAAAAAGCATTAGATTTAAGTAAATAGCATACTTTTTTTTCTTTTGCAAAAGGACCAGTAAGCATGGTTTTGGTACTGAATCAAAACTACGGATACAAAACCTTGGGCTGGATATAAAAACCCTATGCCTTAATTTATAGCATGTGCCCATCTACCCGAAGAATTCAGAATTCTAATCTTCTGAAAAGCTAGAAAAGCATACCTAGCAGTACTTTAAATAGTGTTTTCTCTACAAAATCAGCATCACAAATTTGGCAAGGTCTTTGAAACTTTCCCTTCTGTCCCACTTTGTAATGTTTTCCATTTGCCAAAATCACACACACAAAACCTCCTGCATAAAATTTTCTTCTATATTTTTGTTTGTAAAACTGCCAGCTCCAATGATTTTGGTAATTATTACTAAACGCTGGGTGCTGGAATACGTACCGTATTTGCCAAACAGTTCCTTCAGCCTCTCGTCGTCCATGTCGTCCCCGAAGTTTTTGATGTAGACATTGGTGAACTCCTTCGCTTTGGCTCCCAGCTCTGCCTCCCGCTCTTTGCGGGACTTAAATCGTCCGACAAACCTGGAGAAGGAAGAACCAAAGCTGTTTCGGAAAACCCTTTCTTGCCAACACCGAGAAGTTAAAGGGAAAATTCAAAGGAGAAAAGCAACAACAGCAGCAAATATTTTAAAAAGAAGCAGAGATGTGTGAGAAGGGCAAACTGCAGGGCACAAGGCAACCTTGACCTGAAGCAGAAGGGAAAGCAAGGTACCAAATTTCCCTCAAAAGACAATCGGGTCTTATATTAATTTTGGCTCCAAAAGCCGCATTAGGGCCTATTTTCAGGAGATGTCTTTTTTTTATGAACAACAACCTACATTTATTCAAATACAGTCATATCATCTTCTTTTGGAACATTGCCATATGTTGATATTATTATTCATGTATTTATTAGGAATGTGCAAAAATTCAGACCTGGGTCGTAAGCCATATTTCGGAAAATCCATACTTATGACCCACTTTATGAAGACAGCACCATGCACCCCCCCCCCCCCAAACTAATTCAAACACCCATTTGCTAAGTTTTCGTTAGAAGTTCATTACTTTACGTAAGTCACATTGGGTTAGCTTCTTTTTCAGAAAAGCAAACTTTCCTAGGCAGCACAGCAAAACCTGGTATGTCACATGCGCTCCTCAGATTAACAGGACTGAGGGAGAGGAGAAGGGAGGAGGCGCTGCTGGTGCTTCCTTTAAATACAGAACACACGTTACATCTGCCACTTTTGTGCGAGCAAGCCTGGAGAGGGCTGAGAGGGAGATCGAGGGTAGCACAGGAATGGGAGATGAATTTGCCCATTCTCGAAGGCTTTTGCATGTGCCACGCGGTAGCTTAGTTTGCCTAGCAGCTCAGGATTCTGGTTATGTTGTGTCATTGTGGAGAAATTGAAGTCGACAGCTCTTGTAGTGTTTTTTTTTAATGTTGTTTGTAAAAACTTCAAATTTTCCCAAAAATCAGCAGATGAGCAAAACGTTCTAAAACTTGGGAGGCTTACAGTGGTAAATGTCTGCTACAATTGTCACAAGGTTTATCTGAATAGCCTTAAAAACGGGAAAGGACTGCAGAAGTGTCCCCACTGGCACAAATAACGAAAAGAAAAACTAATACATTTTTGGAACTTCATATTAGAAACGATACTGATCCCTTATAAATTTTTCAAAACATTAGGGTTGCCCTAATTCTGTAAATACAAACTTAGCCGATTTTTGGCATTACGCATACCTCTAGTATTTATATTTAATAACACTGTGTAAAAATTTTTGAAAACATTATGTTCCTGGTTTGAAAGTGTTATTTCCTGTTTAATTGTTTGGTACTTACTTTGAAAGTAGTTGTAATTAGTAGTAGTAATTAGGAAAGGACATTTATAACCCAGGGACAAAAATCGTGTTCTATAGTGTTAGAAGTAAAGTAAAGGTAAAGGTTTCCCCTGACATTAAGTCAAGTTGCGTCCGACTCTGGGGGTGGTGGTCATCTCCATTTCTAAGCTGAAGAGCTGGCGTTGTTCGTAGACACCCCAGGTCATGTGGCCAGAACGACTGCATGGAATGCTGTTACCTTCCTGCAAAAGCGGTACCTATTGATCTAGTCACATTTGCTAGTTTTCGGACTGCGAGGTTGGCAGAAGCTGGGGCTAACAACAGGAGCTCACCCCGCTCCCCAAATTCAAACTGCCAGCCTTTCAGTCAGCAAGGTCAACAGCTCAGAGGTTTAACCCACTGTGTCAGTAATGTGATATATCATATTATTTCATAATTCAATATGCCCGTCAAATGTTACAAGAGATGTACTACAGGTAAATGCATCCATCTGGGTGACAATTTTAACTGGGGCTTATTTTTGGAGTAGGGCTTATTTTATGAGCATCATCCTGAAAAATCATACAAGGGTTTCCGGTTAGGTCTTATTCTTAGGGAAATAGAGTTGCAACACCCTCTGAACCGTTTGGAGTAGGTAAAGTGGGAGGAAATCTGCCCAGCAAGCCCTTGGACTGGGAGGAGGAGCCTGAGGCCTGGGCAGGGACACTCACCAGCCCTGGAGCAGAGAAGCAGTGGCCAAAGCCTGGTGCAAGGGAACCAGCAGCCGGGCGGGTTAATACCGAGATGCAGCATGGCTCATGCGGAGGCTCCAGCTGAGAGACACTCACACTTTGCGGTCGTTCAGCAGCATGCCGTTCATCTTCTCAATGGCCCGGTCGGCAGCATCCTGTGTCTCAAAGTGCACAAAGGCATAGCCCTTAGAGCCGTTCTCATCGCACACCACCTGCGGGGAATGGCAAGGGGTGGGTGAGGCAAAAGGCACATGCCACCTGCACCAAAAGAGGCAAAGATATAGGCTCTGAATAAGGAACACAGCAACTAACTTCCTGGATACCATCAGCTGTTGTTTACTGACCATGGGAAAAAGTAAGTGTTATTTACACCGTTTTTGTTTATTAATGCCCACACCGAAAGCCATTCACATGCACACAGATAAAACAATACCGAAAAAGGCAACAATATAAAACAATTGGCATAAAGATCTTACCTGTTAAAATTCAGTACCATTAAAATGCAATATAACGCCAAGGATAAAACTATTTAGCTAAAAGCATCCCCATAACAGTTAACTGCAATATCAGCAATATGTTCTGCCCAAATGTGCTTTGCCCTGCTGCCAGGGTGAAAAGAGAAACCTTGTGAGTTGCCATAGAATTGGTGTCACTCAGGAGATTAAAAAAAATTCTGACATATTATTCAGTACTATTTCTCATGTAATCAAACTCTGCTGTTTAAGGACTAGGTATTATCTCTCAATAAACCATCACAAATAGTAGTTTGACTCTGATTCTAGAGCAGGGTTTCTTAAACATTCTCCACTCATGACTCCTTTCCTCCCGAGTAATTTTTTCATGGTCCCAGGTATATAAAATAGGTATAAAAAACACTGAAAATAAATCAGCATTTGCAAGGCTGATTTTCCTTTTTGTTGGGTATAGCTTCTGCAGAGTCCACTGTCAACATTGCATGTTAATGCAAAGAGACTTATGTAAAAAGGTGGCATTCAGAAACCCTTTAATGTTGCCGAATTGTTTGTGACCTCAATATTGTACTAAAGGGTCCCACAGTTTAAGAAGCAGTGCTCTAGAGAGAAGGGTTTGAATCCCTCTTCAGCCACAGAAACCCCAAGTGTATTATATCAGCCTCAGAGGAAGGCAAATCCCACCTACTCAAAAAAAAAAATTTGCCCACAAATATGGCCGTCCATTACATCCTGCACAACCGATTTTACTATGAAGAACTGAATCGCCGGTGAGGAGGAATAAAGAGGAGGCCAAAGCACGTCCATTGCGGGTGGGAGATATAGAGAAGCCGGAACCAGAGAGATCTCCGCTGAACCACAAACGCCAATCGAATGAAAAAGCGATCAACAATTATCATTACGAGAAGTTCAAGAAGATGAACCACCACTATTGAAAGCTGCCTGGGATTTCCTCCTTTTTTTCTAGAAAGGAAAATGGGAATACCTTCCAAAAAACAAAACAAAAACAGGCTACACTTCCTGTCTTGCAAATATTAGCTCTGCCCTTTTTTTTTATTTTGGAAGGGGGGGGGGGCATTTGAGATTTTTAGCATTGCAATGTGTTTGTATATATTTGAGGTGTTACTGTATCTCATGTTATGGAAGTTGCCCTCAAGATGGCTATTAAAAATAATTTGAAAAAAAAAATCTTGCTAAAAAATCTCTATGATAGGTTTGCTTTAGTTTCCATAAGCTGGAAATGACTGGAAGGCTGTAGAACAAAAAACCACATGAGAAAATCCTTTCTACCTGCCTCCTTTTGGAGCCAAGACAGAAGGGCAAACAACAGTACTGATACTTGCAATATATATATATACAACACACACACTTTAACGCTTGACACCAGTGCTGTTACTCTACTTTTAACACAGTCAAGGTAAGACTAAAGGATCTCAAGGAACAAGGAGAAAAGCAGGCTTCCCAAAGCTCACCTTGCAAGAAAGGATATTCCCAAAAGCGGAGAAAGTGTCATAAAGTGCCTTGTTGTCGATGGATTTGTCCAGGTTCTTAATGAAGACGTTCCCTACGCCTGACTTCCTCAGAGAAGGGTCCCGCTGGGACCACATGATGCGGATGGGCTTGCCTTTGATCACATCGAAGTTCATAGTGTCCAAGGCTCGCTCAGCTACAAAGGCAAGGAAGGGAAGTGAGCTTTTTTTATCTTAAGAATGCAAGAAGTAATAATGTACTGTCAAAAGCTTTCACGTCCAGAATCACTGGAGTGTTGTGTGGTTTCTGGGCTGCAAGGCCGTGTTCTTGCAGCATTTTCTTCTGACATTTCACCTGCATCTGTGGGTGGCAACATCAGAGGATTGTCTGAAGATGCCATCCACAGATACAGGCAAAATGTCAGGAGAAAATGCTGATGGAACACGACCATACAGCCTGGAAATCACACAACACTCCATGAATACTTGCTTCAATAAACCCAGGGCAGTTGGAACATACAAACATGGCCAGAAAAAACATGGTGACCCCTGACAGACAATTTCATAGAATCATAGAATAACACTATGTAATACGATTTTTCTTCCTGGGTTATAAATGTCATTCTCTAATTAGTTCTATCATAAAAACATGGAGAAGTTTATTAAACTGCAAAAACTTTGTTTCTGTGGGAGGGACATCCTGCAGCACATTTTGCTCTAGTTTTTCAATGAATAATCTCATAAGAGTCTTAAACCAATTCAACATACTATGTGGCAATTACAAAAATGAAGTTTCTGGAGTAGTACAACTGCTTTCAAAGTAAGGACTGCACAATTAAACAGGAAATAGCACTTTCAAACCAGGAACAGAAGATTTTTCAAATTTTGTTGCATAGTGTAATTAATCATAGAACCTATAATAATTTAAACACATCAGCATCAGCACAGATAGTTCTCAGGATACTGCACAAATTGTCATGTTCATTTGACTCTGCTGCAGCAAGCTTACCATTGGTAAATACCATTTGTACCAGGGGAGATTCTGTCCTAAACAGATGACACATGTAGGCAGCAGAGAACCATGCCTGTTAGATATCGAAAACCTGCCAATCACACATTGTGGCTGAGCAGATTGATTTGAACGCACGTTTGTATCGGCCTATCCATGGTCTCTGGGATGCAAGGTTAAGTATCTCCTGTTGGTCAAATGTACCTAAAAAAGAAACAGGGAAGCCCTGCTTGTGCTAAATAGCAAAGGGTATCCATCACATTCTAAAACCATTGCAACCTAGACTCTGGACACACACTAATCCTCCTTCAGGTTTCTATTTTAGTACCAAGCAACATATTAAAAGCCCTTTGGCAGAGGCACACGAGGCTCTTGTTCATAAAAAGGCAGGGGCCTGGGAAAGAGTTCTTGCCAAACAGGCATCTCAGTTGAGAAGGAAAAAGAGAAATTCAAAGAGGAGCTCCTTGCGGCCCAGATGAGAACTCCCTGCTTGATGGGACTCTCCACCTGCAGACTTCTCAGCTCCCCTCTTGCCTTCATCACGAAGGAGTCCCATTTCAGACAACTACATTTGGCTGTGTTTTATTTATAGCAGAAAGCAATACTCCAAAGGCATATGCTGGCAAGGGAGGCAACCCCAGAGAATACCCCATTTGCTGCTGAAAGGTTGCAATGCAGGAACACAACAGAAGGGATTATGCTCTCGTGCCATCAGAGGCTGCCATGGTAATGAGACAAAAACTGCAGCACATGTTGAGACAAAAACTGCAGCACATGGTAGCAAGCATGCAGCGTTCCAAATGTCATTAGATTGCAGGTCCCATCCTCCACAGTCAGCAATTAGGAATAAGGCCTGCAGTCTAGGATTGCACAATTCTCACCATTACCAGAAGAGAAATATTACTCAGTGTTTTTATTTCCTTCCCTCTGCAAAACTGTATCAGAGTCAGGTTCTGCTTCCACAAATACTCAGAATTCTGTTTATTATTTATGTGTTCGACTTTAATCCATTCTTTCAATCCAAAAATAAAACTTTGTATCCAAAGCGGCATACAAAGAACTAAATAATGTAATCATGCCAGGACTCCTTTCACACAAACCCTGCCTGGCATGCAGCACTGGCCCAGGGACTGACTACCACTCCAGGTTTCCTCAGGTGTTCTGGCCTGAAAATCCCAGCAGCTCTTACCTGCAAAGATGGAAGGCCAAGTATATTTGAATTTAACAATGAATGTTGAGGCAGTATCAGTATAACTGATCTACCTTTTACCGTGAGGCAGAACATCATTCAAAAGAGCCATTCTGGACCAAACCAGAGGCCTCTCAACTTCGATATTCTGGACACAGCAGCTAACCAATGGCCCAAATGTGAAACAGTCTGCCAGGACACAGATGTAGCTTTAAGCATGTGTTCCCAAACAGTTAATATAGAGATATACTGCCCTTGACACGTGTGTGCTCAAGCTACCTGTCCTCCTACAGCAACCACTTATATTTCCTAGGGTTTTTAGAAAATTTCTCCAAAGTGGTTTAGCTAGGCCTTTCCTCTGACACAGAGGCTCCAGTTCCTGGGATGCCTTGGCAATCCTTCTGATCTTGGAAGGGCCCTTCTTTTTGGGCTGCCACTTCCACAATCGCCTAGTCATCATGAGTTCCATGGGGATTTCCCAGGCAAGGAGTCCTCAGAGGTGGTTTTGCCATTTCCTTCCTCTGGAACATTGTCTAGCGCCTGCTCTTCACATCCAATTACAAACCAGACTGGACTTTGTTGAGCTTCGGAGATCAGGTGGGGTCTAGCCCTTTAAGGGTCTTTAGGCATTAACTACTAGAAACACGGGAATGGGAGATCTTTTTCTGCCATGCAGAGACATGCTCTCCAAGCTCTCCTGACTGTGGGCCACTCAGCCTTTGCTTCAAAGTCTCCACAGAGGAGACCACTTTGTGTCGAAGTGGGGAGTGGGATTCCTTTCTCGTGTTAAGGTGGGATTGGTCCCCCCCCCCCCCCCCCCCCGCAAATTTAATCTATTCATCTATCAGTCTTCTAGTCTAAAGAACAGGCTTACTTATCCCTCCTCAATGGGACATCCCTTCCAATATCTAAACATGGCTATTGTGTCTCTTGGCCTTATCTTTTCTAAGCTAAACACACTCCGCTCCCTAAAATGCTCCTCGGAGGGATTAATATCTTTCAGACCTAGGCGCTTCCTATTTGAGGGACGCCATCTTTAATTGAATGGCTAGGGCTCATTGCTATGCAATGCTGGGATTGGTAGTTTGGTGAGGCATTCACATTCTTTGAGAGAAGGCTCAAGGTCAAACTACAGGCCCAATGATGCCATAGCATTGAAGCATGGCAACTAAATTGGATTCATTCTACAGCATAGATACATCCCAAAGTTTTCTTTTCCATCACTGAAAGCTTTGGTGTTTTAACACTTGTTTTTAAAGGAGGAATAGTAATGCACACCATTTTTGGCCAAATTACAGTGCACTTCTTGCTGCTGCGGATTACATTTGGGAGCAAATCCTTCATTTGGTTTCAAGGTTTTGAAAACTGAGGTGTGCATTAGATTCAATGAGTCACGAAACTTGAGGAAATACAGTACTTTGCCCAGAACTAGACCCAGGGCTATTCTTCCAGGTGGGGTTTGGTGGAGACAACAAGGTTGTTTTTCTGTTGATTAAGTCAGCTCTGCTAGGATCGTAACCAATCTCCTTTCAAATTCATCCAAGTAGTTGGCCATGTTTGAAAATGTGAAAGGATGCCATAAGGAAGAGGGAGCAGGCTTTCTTTCTGCTCCCCTGGAGACTAGGCCTCAATGGAGCCATGGGTTCAAATTACAGGAAACGGGATTCCACTTGAACATTAGGAAGAACTTCCTGACTGTAAGAGCGGTTCAACAGTGAAGCTCTCTGTCTCGGAATGTAGTGGAATCTCCTCCCTTGGAGGCTTTTAAACAGAGACTGGATAGTCATCTGTTGGGAGGTACTTGATGTTTTTCCTGAAAGGCAGATTGGGGCTGGACTAGATCTTCCAACTCTATGATTCTATGATCAGTACATCTTGTGGCAATGAGTTCCGCAGTCCCAGACTCTCCCATTATGACTCACCATCCGCAGGCTGCTGGAAGTTGACATAAGCATAGCCCAAAGAGCGGCGGGTGATCATGTCCCTGCAGACACGGATGGAGAGGACAGGGCCGGCGGGGCTGAACTTCTCATAGAGCATGGCCTCCGTGACATCCGGGTGCAGGTCCCCCACATACAGGGAGGCCATGGGGTAGCTGCTGGCAGCCGCATTCATCCCCTTCTTCCCCCAAAGCAGGCCTCAGACTTAAGAGACACCTCCCAATCAATTACCTTTTCACAAACCCTACTTTTCAGAGTTACATTTAAAGAGAGGTCTGATTTATGAGAATAGCCCTTTCAGCTGAATAGGAAAAGTGCAAATGTTTAATGGCACAAATATTTGAGAAAGGCCAGTTGAGGATTAGATGGAAGACTTAGAAAGATTCCCCAAATCAATATATTTCCAAAGGCAGTTTTAAAATCCTTTTTGAAAAATAAACAATGCAATCCCACTTTATAAAAATAATAATCTTTTTTTGAGGGGAGGGAATCTTTTTTTTTTTCCTTTTTAAATTAAGGTTTTGCTTCAAGGCTAATTCCTCCCTGCAGCTTTAAAGTAAAATCCTATATTCCTTCATACATATATTTATAGTTTCTTCTATTTTATTAGTGCAAAATAGATCAAACAGTCATCCAATGATTGTTATAGACAAAGCAACTACAGTATTTCTCTCCAAAAAAGTCAGGCAGGCATGTGATTTTTTACAATACTAAAATCTTATTTAGAATTAAAAAAACCCCACCAAGATTGAATTTGAGGTGATAAAAAGGAAAACGGTAGCAGAGAAAAGAAAAATATAGTAAAGGGATTGGAGGAGAATTAATGGATTTTGAACAAAGAGAGGAAAGGAAATGAATTTCTATTCTCCTTTAGGGAGCTTCTCCTGTCCTCGATAAAACTCAAGCAAATAGGAATAAATAAATTTCTAAATACTTCTCCAGAAAAGCCTGACAGGTAGTGAAATAGTATTATTTAAAAGTTTAAACTTTTATAACTTGAGGCGATAGAAAGGAAAACGATGGCAGGGAAAATGAAGTGAAAATACAGCAAAGGGATTTGAAAAGGGAAAATAAATTGACAAAAGCGAATGGGGATATAAATATAAATAGGAATAAATAAACCTGTATTAAAGGGAAGGCAAATAAAGGACCCACAAAAAAGATGGAAAAGAAAAAAGGCAACACACACAAAGAAAGGACTACATTAAATTAAAAGTTTAAAAAGACTAAAAATAAACAATAAGGCAGGGAAATCAGAATATTTCTCATTATTACGATGCTTTCCCTTAAATAATAATTATCATCTTACTATTTTCTCTTCTTATTCCTGACAATTATTATTATTATTATAAGTATTTTCTTTTCCCGCTTCGAATATAATTATTATTATTATTATTATTATTATTATTATTATTATTGTGAGGGTTTTTCCTCTCTCGTTTGGGATATTACTCGTAGTGTTTTCTTATTGACCCTCCTTCCTGGCGATTTTTTATTAATATTTTTATTTATTTATTATTTATTTATATTAATTTTTTTTTCTTTTGCTATTTTTAAGGCTTTTTTTTCCTCCCCCTTTTTTCCCCCCTTTGAGGCTCCTACTTGGCCCGGACCCTCCTCTTCCGAGGCCGACAGCGGAAAGGGGGGCCCGAGGGGCGCCGAGAGCCCTTTATAGGCCACGCCGCCCCTGCCGGCCTCCTGGGCCCGCCACCAGGAAAGGGAAGGCGGCCGGAAGTCGGGGAGGGTGGGCCTTCCGGCGGAGAAGAAGCCTGAGGAAGCGACACAGCGCCGCCTGCAGGCCAGAGGAGCGAGCCACGCCCAGGCCACGCCTCCCTGGAGAGGAGCACTTTGGTATTCATTTGTAGTGTCAGGACAACCAGTTCAACATCTACACAAATGACCAGCCACTACCAGAAGGAACAGAGAGTTTCATCTATGCTGATGATCGTGCCATTACTGCTCAAGCAGGGAGCTTTGAGATGGTAGAACAGAAGCTCTCCAAAGCTCTAGGTGCTCTTACTGCCTATTACAGGGAAAACCAGCTGATCCCAAACCCATCTAAAACACAGACATGTGCTTTTCACCTTAAGAACAGACAAGCATTCCAAGCTCTGAGGATCTCCTGGGAAGGAATCCCACTGGAGCATTGCATCGCACCCAAATACCTGGGAGTCACTCTGGATCGTGCTCTTACCTACAAGAAGCATTGTCTGAACATCAAGCAAAAAGTGGGTGCTAGAAACAATATCATACAAAAGCTGACTGGCACAACCTGGGGATCACAACCAGACACAGTGGAGACATCTACCCTTGCGCTATGCTACTGTGCTGCTGAGTACGCATGCCCAGTGTGGAACACATCTCACCACACTAAAACAGTGGATGTGGCTCTTAATGAGACATGCCGCATTATCACGGGGTGTCTGCGCCCTACACCACTGGAGAAATTACACTGTCTAGCCGGTATCGCACCACCTGACATCCGCCGGGAAGTGGCAGCCAATAGTGAAAGGACCAAGGCAGAGACATCTCCAGCTCATCCCCTGTTTGGGTATCAGCCAGCACGTCAACGACTTAAATCAAGACATAGTTTTCTTAGATCTACAGAGACACTTGCTGGAACGCCTCAGCAAGCAAGAGTCCAAAAGTGGCAGGCTCAAACCCAGAACCTCAACCAATGGCTGATACCAGATGAGAGACCCCCCTGGGCACACAGAGGACAGGGCGACTTGGAAGGCGCTGAACAGACTGCGCTCTGGCACCACGAGATGCAGAGCCAACCTCAAGAAATGGGGCTACAAAGTGGAATCCATGACATGCGAGTGCGGAGAGGAGCAAACCACTGACCACCTGCTGCAATGCAACCTGAGCCCAGCCACATGCACAATGGAGGACCTTCTTGCAGCAACACCAGAAGCACTCCAAGTGGCCAGATACTGGTCAAAGGACATTTAATCAACTACCAAACTCACACATTTTGTATTTTCTCTGTTTGTTTGCTTTGTTCTGTTAGAAATGTAATATAATTGGCTTGCTGCCCTGACACGAGAAATAAAAATAAGTGTGGTGAGATGTGTTCCACACTGGGCATGCATACTCAGCAGCACAGTAGTACAGCGCAAGGGCAGATGTCTTCACTGTATCTGGTTGTGATCCCCAGGTTGTGCCAGTCAGCTTTCGTATGATATTGTTTCTAGCACCCACTTTTTGCTTGATGTTCAGGCAGTGCTTCTTGTAGGTAAGAGCACGGTCCAGGGTGACTCCCAGGTATTTGGGTGCGCTGCAATGCTCCAGTGGGATTCCTTCCTAGGTGATCTTCAGAGCTCGGGATACTTCTCTGTTCTTGAGATGAAAGGCACATGTCTGTGTTTTGGATGGGTTGGGGATCAGCTGGTTTTCCCTGTAATAGGCAGTAAGAGCACCTAGAGCTTCGGAAAGCTTCTGTTCTACCATCTCAAAGATCCCTGCTTGAGCGGTAATGGCACGATCATCAGCATAGATGAAACTCTCTGTCCCTTCTGGAAGTCGCTGGTCATCTGTGTAGATGTTGAACATGGATGGAGCGAGCACGCTCCCCTGAGGCAGGCCGTTCTTCTGTTTCCGCCATCTGCTTCTCTGGCCCTGGAACTCAACAAAAAAAGCTCCTGTTTTGTAGCAGGTTTCCTATGAGGCAGGTGAGGTGCTAGTCCTTTGTGATATTATACATTTTTCTTAGGAGGAGGCAGTGGTTCACAGTATCATAGGCTGCTGACAGGTCTATGAAGACAGCTCCTGTGATCTGCTGCCTTTCAAAGCCGTCTTCTACGTGCTGAGTCAGGTTCAGCACTTGCGATGTGCAGCTTTTGCCTTTCCTGAAGCCAGCTTGCTGTGGGATCAGACATGGGTCTATTTTTTCTGTAATTCTATGCAAAATAAGTCTCTCCAGAACTTTGTAGAGGTGGCACAACAGGGAGATTGGTACACTTGTATGAAAGGAAAAGGAAGAGGAGGGAGAACAACAACAACAATAATATTGGGGGTAGAAATTATTATTATTATTATTATTATTATTATTATTATTTCTTTTTTGGAGAGAGAAAGCAGAATATAAATAATGGTAATTTATATAAATAATGGTAATTCTCTCTTTTGGAGAGAAAAGGGGGTATAAATAATAATAATAATAATTTCTTTTTTGGAGAGAAAAAGCAGAGTAGAAATAATAATAAAAAATTGAGTGTCTTTTGGAGAGAAAAAGGGATATAAATTATTATTATTATTATTTCTTTTTTTGGAGAGGAAAAACAGAGTATAAATAATAATAATAATTGTAGTCTCTTTTGGAGAGAAAAGAGGATATAAATTATTATTATTATTATTATTATTATTATTATTATTTATTGGAGAGAAAAAGCAGAGTACAAATAATAATAATAATTTGAGTCTCTTGGAGAGAAAAGGGGGTATTAATTATAATTATTTCTTTTTTGGAGAGAAAAAGCAGAGTATTAATAATAGTAATAATAATAATAATAATAATAATAATTTGAATCTCTTTTGGAGAGAAAAAGGGGACCTCTGAGGATGCCTGCCATAGATGTGGGAGAAATGTCAACAGAGGATGCTTGTGGAACATGGCCATATAGCCCGGAAAACTCATAACAACTCAATAATAATAATAATAATAATAATAATAATAATAATAATAATAGCTCTTTTCCAGCCATTTGGGATATTGTTTGCCAGCAGAGGGCAGGCAGAGATTGCAGACTTTCTCAGAATGTGTCTCACATCTGTATGTTGGCAAACAAAAAAGGTGATAAAAAGAGGTGACAAAAAAGGACAATAGCCCAATAACAGGCATTGCTCAGTGCTGCCTTTAAAATTCGGACTAGAGTCCGGAGCCAATGGACCGCCCCCGCCAGCATCAGACACACCAATCACCTCTCTCTGAAACAGGGACACAAGATAAGAGCATAGATTAAAACAGCAGTCATAAAGATATCTCTCTAATATGAATCCTTGCTTTTTTTGTAACATGCATTTTCTTTGTTGCTGACTTTCAAGGTGATTTTTAAAGAAATGGTTACTGCATGTTCATTTTCTCATTCAGTTGGTTCGTCAGTGGAAACCTCTCCGCTTCATCTACTCCTGAATTGCAGTGAAAAGTGATTTTTCTCAAAAAGCAGGGGACTAAATAAATACAGAGTTGCAAATGTGTACACATTCTGTCCTAGTATTCATTTTTGTATCAGAGATCAAATTGTTTTGTACGAGTTTTCCAAGGTCTTTAGCCACCTTCAGCCGGTGCCTCCCCAAACTACAGCATCTATGTTGTAGAATGAATCCACTTTAACTGCCTTGTTCAGTGCTATGGAGTCATGGAGCTGTAATTTGACAAGGACTTGAGCCTTCTCTGCCAAAAAAATGCTGGTGCCTCGTCAAGCTACAGATCCCAGGATTGCATAGCATTGAGCCTGAGCCATTAAATTAGAGATGGTGCCCTTCTTGGGCAAAGTCATGGAATGTGTGGTGGCAACACAACTCCAGGGATTTCTGGTAGACACTGATTATCTAGATCCAGCACAGTCTGGTTTTAGGCCGGGACATGGAAATGAGACAGCCTTGGTCGCCTTGGTAGATGATCTTTGCTGGGAGCTGGAGTGTGTCCCTGTTACTTCTGCTGGACCTCTCAGTGGCCTTGGATACCATCGACCACGGTATCCTTCTGGGACGCCTCACAGATATGGGACTTGGGGGTACTGCCTTGCAGTGGCTCCAGTCCTTTCTCGAGGGACGGTCCCAGAAGGTGTTACTCGATGACTTCTGTTCGGCCCCACAACCATTGTGTTGTGGAGTCCCACAGGGTTCAATTCTGTCCCCCATGTTGTTTAACATCTACATGAAGCCGCTGGGGGAGATCACTCGGAGTTTCGGACTGAGGTGTTATCTCTATGCAGATGATGTCCAAATCTGTCACTCCTTCCCACCTGTCACCAAGGAGGCTGTCCAAACCTTGAACCGGTGCTTGGCCGCTGTGCTGGACTGGATGAGAGCTAACAAACTGAAATTGAATCCCAACAAGACAGAGGTCCTACTGGACAGTCACAAGGCCAAATAGGGCATAGGGTTACAGCCTGTGTTAGACGGGGTTACACTCCCCCTGAAGACGCAGGTTCGCAGCTTGGGAGTGATCTTGGACTCATTGCTGAGCCTGGAACCCCAGGTCTCAGCGGTGGCTGGGAGAGCTTTTGCACAATTAAAACTTGTGCGCCAGCTGCGCTCGTACCTTGGGAAGTCTGATCTGGCCACAGTGGTCCACGCTCTTGTTACATCCCGAATAGATTACTGCAACGCGCTCTACGTGGGGTTGCCTTTGAAAACTGATCGGAAACTTCAGTTAGTCCAACGGGCAGCAGCTAGATTAATCACCGGAGCGTCATACAGGGAACATACCACCCCTGTTATGTCAGCTCCACTGGCTGCTGACCCAGTTCCGAGCACAATTCAAAGTGCTGGTTTTGATCTACAAAACCCTATACGGCTCCGGCCCAGCATACCTGTCCGAACGTATCTCCTATGTCCCACCTCAGAGTTTAAGATCTTCTGGGGAGGCTCTGCTCTCGGCCCCGCCTCTATCACAAGTGAGGCCGGTAGGGATGAGGGACAGGGCCTTCTCAGTGGTGGCCCCTAGCCTGTGGAATTCACTCCCCGGGGAAATTAGGTCATCAACATCCCTCCTCTCCTTCAGAAG